GGGAAAAGAGTTTTTGAGTTACATAAGTGGATCTATTAATGAAGGTATTCATTACACTAGTGTTGAAGATGCAAAGTTGGTTGGCTATTGCAATAGTGATTGGGGAGGAAGTATTGATAATAGCAAGAATACTTCTTGATATGTTTTTAACATTGGTTCAAGGGCAATATCAAAGAAGCAGCCTGTTATTACACTTTCTTTAGCTGAAGTTGAGTTCCTCTCCTTGGCATTTGCTTCTTTTCAGGCACTTTGGCTCAAGTGGGTGTTAAAAGAACTCAAGCACTTACAACAAGAAGGTATCTTGTTATTCTATGACAATAATTCAGCTATTTCTCTTTCCAAAGATCCAATATTTCATGGCAAGAGAAAGTTCATAAGAATCAAGTATCATTTCATCCGTGACTTGGTAAAGAATGGTGATGTGAATGGGAGGTATTACAAGACACAAGATCAAGTAGTTGATATCTTCACAAAGGCTTTGAGCATCAATACATTCAAGCATTTGAAGAAGGAATTAGGCATGACTATGATATAGCTTAAAGGGGGTTATTGGAATTTATAAGCTAGATGCATGTATGTCTTGGTTCATGAACATTATAATTCATGTACTTAGTATTATGGTACATGAATTATGTTATTCATGTACTTAGTTATTTGTGTAGAATTTATGTAGGTTCTTTGTATTTTCATTTTAAAGATTGAAAATTTGTCTTGTAAATTTCCGAACATTGTTATTTCAGAAACACAATTAATAAAAAGGAAGTTTGAATTCAACATCCTCTCTCATTTTCTCTATTATTGTTTGTCGAGAATGCACTTGATATTTTTCGAACTTGTGTTTATTCCCTACAGATATAATATTGCATGATTGGTAACTGTGAGATGAAAGTTATTTATTTGATAGGTGATTAATAGTTAGTTGAAGCATTAATTTTTGAACTAACATCTAATTTGATTAGCTGAAAAATAGTTATAATCTCTAGCTGAACATGTGTTTCTAACTTGATCAGCAATATTACACTCAGCAAATAAGATTTTCGATATCAAGAGTGACCTGAGTTGATGCCAATTTCTATATTTTCCAAATGGTGGAGTCAACCATTAGATATACATATACTGGGACATTACAAGGTTTCAGAGGCTCTAGCAATTATGTTTCTTCCCTATTTTCAAATGTTTGTATAGTTGTTATATAATTAGTTGTAATTGTGGGTATTGAAAATAGGGAACTTTTCATATTGTTTACTTGATTGATCACCAGAAACGTTCTCTGTTGCATTCTTTTCTTCAATTGAGATAAATTAGTCGTGATAACCCTGTGATGTTTTGGAAATTTGATCGCAACTATGCGTATATTTCTACTTACAAAATCTGTCACGTAGAGCACTACAGTAATTTATTGATAAGTTATAGGAGTTCTGGGATATTCCCTTTTTACTTTCCTGAAGGTTGACTTAAAATGCACATAACACTAGCACATAGTAGTCTACATCACATGTGCACACTGCTACATATTTTGTCCCCATGGCCATTTGCGTAGACCGAATCTGCACATTGTAATCAAGATTACACCATCTGGGTTTATGTGGTCTTTTGGGGTGTGGTGCATGCATGTGAAGAGAGTGTATTTACTATCTCTAGGAGGTTCATTGGATATTGAAGTAGAGAAAACGTGATATAGGAGGAGATCTGAACAGGCAATTGTGTTGATATGCATTTGTATAGGGTTCTATGCGCCTTTTCTTGGGAGGTTTTTTGCACTATTGTTTGTAGGTATTTGCATTGTTACTAACAAAAAATATCTCGTATGTTGGTTGGGTAGTAGAATGGTAAGAGATAGCTTTTGGCAGCAGTCTGATGCTTGCTGGATATCCTTTGCAAGTACATGGGGGTGATTCAGATGACTAGTCACCTTTATAGAATGGAGGATTATTCGCATGTGCGCTTTTAGCATTGTGATTGTATATTACTTGGGATTAGTGACTGATGGTTGGGCAGTTGTGGCGTTTGGACTTGTGGTGTTATTGGTGCTTATATTAGTTATAGTTGAAGAGGGCTGTGAGGGCAATGCAAGATAACTTCATTGAAATTGTAATTATGGTAGGTTGTAGTTAAGGTTATAGGGCATGCCATTTTAGGGATGTACAATGGCAGATTTTGTGAGAGGAAGCAAACACAGATGGTCTACAGAATTTAGAGGACGCAAGTAGTGTGTATAAGTGAATGGATGGGAGTTAGTTGTGGATAATGGATGAAACTGACTTTGCTTGAAGTAGCCCCTTATAATGACGAACTAATACGAATTTTTCTCGTTCCACCTCTGTAACAATATCTTTTTATTGCAGCTTGGTCCTAAGGCCGAGGATGTGAAGAAGCCCATAAACCCATTTGTTTTTCTTGCACGTTTCCTTCTTGGAGCAATCGCAGCAACATATTTCGTGCTCATACCTATTTATATGTGGCTAAAGGATCAAATTGTTCCCAAAGGTATGCCTATCTGAGCAAGACACAAAATAGAATGCTAGAGTTCGGCTTTTGTTTAGTTCTGGGAACAAAGGAGGCGAGATCCGCAGTAAACATGCATCCGGATGAAGGGTAGCAAGTGGTTGAATTTCATCAGGGATCTTCGCGAAGACATCAGGTGTGTGCCCAGGAGTTTTGAGTGTCAATTCCCAGAAAATGTTCTTAAAATAATTCTGTTGGTAATGCTAAGGATATCTGTAACTGCAATATTTTCTTGCTTTCAAGTATTCCATATTTGTGGTTCTCACCTTTTGTAGAATTTCTACATACTTGTAGCTTACGAGATAACTTGTTTTGTTTAACATGTTCTGTAGTAATGATAAATCATAAAGAACACATTAATTTAAAACTCTTAAATATATAAATCACACTGTCTATTTAGATTTACGATTATCATCAATCTAGGTGCAATTAAGTGACATTTATTTACTCCTTAAATGCAGGCATATGTGTTCTATTTAAGATGACATATTAATGAATGTCACTTATGCAACCTAATCATTAATATAGTAGATAGAATTATTCAAAATATATCCACATTCAATATAAATGGCAAAACATAACGAACGCATTACATTTTATTTTATTTTTGTTAATTTCAATATTACTTTCATAACATTTATTTTGTTTATTTTTATAAATTGGTTATATATGAAGGCGAGAACTCCCTTGGCTTGGCCAATTTGGTTGTCGACGTGAACGACTAGAAAATCTTGTCCTTGACGTGATGGTATTGGCTTT